AAGTTTTTTTTGAATAATAAAAGTTTTTAATAAATAACTTTCAAAAATTTTTTTATTCTCAAATGCTTTTGATTAAGAAATTATACACTCAAAAAATTAAAATATAAAAAGTATTCTTCTTCTCTGTCAATCTGAATTTAAATACAAGTTAAAATACTAAAAAATTAGAAAATTAGCCTTTTTTTCATATTAATTTAACTTCATGCTTTCTATTTTCTACTTTTTTAGTTAGAATATATTATTTCTATTGTAGAATATTTAGCTGAACATTTTTTATTAGTGAGTGAAGCTTGTTAACATAGTAAAATTATTTGTAATCTTAATTTTAAAGATCAAATACTTAATTTGACCTTATTTCACGATCGCAAAAATTTTATTCATTTTAAAATATGCATTGCAGGCTTCAAACAATGCACATAGAATTTGGATTAGTAATACATAAAATACTATATAATTGTTTATACAAATCCTTTAAAAAAAGTTAATTATATAATAAAAGATTGCACCACCATTTTTTTCACCGGGGACTATAAAGAAAATCTACGAAAGAATATTTGGATGAGAAATCTAACCATGTAGTTAAAATATATTCAGATAAGGAATCTAACTATATAAAAAATGCATCTTTGTTTGATGATCCAGATGTCAGAATTTTTGGGCTATTTACTTTCTCAGATTGAAATAGCTCTCTTATTATTTTATTTATTATTATAGCATATATATAACACGTTTCGTTGTTTATATCTTTTAATGCACATTTTATATAATCCAACTATTTAATGCAATAAAATTCAGTTTCTTATTAAATAAGTTTATCTTTATAGATGATAATTTACAAACCTTTTCAAGTTCAATTTTATCATGATGTCGTCTTTTATCTATCATCCTTCAAAATCTATCAATAATTGAAGAAAATTTTTCACTTTAGTGTTAAAGAAAATATAAAATAATTTAATTCTGAACTTACTGTGTTTATAAAAGACTAAGCGTTATAGGCAATAATACGTAAGAGCATCTAAGAGAAGGCATAGTCTATTATTAGCAGCCAAGGTATCATCAGTTAGCTACTTGGGGTTTTCAATACATCATATTATTATCTTAGTAACCAGAACATATTCTAGCTCTTAGTTCAAGAATGTGGAAGAAAGGCGTAGTCTACTATCACTGGTCAAAACGTAGTCAGCTAGCTACTCAAAGATTATTAATATATCATGTTATTGTTTCAGTAGCCAGAATGTATTCTAGTCCTTAAACATATGAAATTGCCTAATCTCAATTGTTAAAAAGAGCATATACTTAACTTTAAGAGTGGCTAAACAATTTCTTACTATTTTTGCATAATTCTCATGATCAGATAATATTTCTAATGCTTTTTTGTAGTTCCTATGCTTCTCAAATTTGTTATATAAAAAAAACTGTCCTGTGTTTGCCTGTATTGTAAAAAGTTTATTAACAACTAAATTGAATTACACTTGAAGAACTCTTTTATTATTTTTTGCATTTGTGATGACTCGCTTATAGAGATTGATATAAATATATTCAAGTATTTATTAGATTTATTTAAATTTATTTAAATTTATTTAAAGTAGTATAATTCAAAATGTTTTGAAAAATATAATCTTTTATATCTATTTTATGTCTGTTATGCTATGTTAGGGTGATCAATCAACTAATTAAATCAAAACTATATATAGTATTATATAAAAGTTTATTATTGAATTTTTTTTATATTTTTTTCATGTAGATTTTTGATTAAGTTTTAATAAGGGTAAATTACATAATATTTTATTAAAAAATATACAGCATATTTAAAGTAATAATTCATAAAAAATATTTAAAGTAACGTCAGATCTGAATTGTTGCAATTGAATTTCTTGAAGTAGAATTTTTTTTAATGCATTTCTTTTTACTTTAATCCATCTGGGTAATCCTTCTTTGGCAATTTTATTTGTGGATAATTGAAGTTTAGATTGTTTCATTGATATTGTTATGTTAGGATATAAGTCTAATTTATTAAAAAGGCCTTCTACTTGCTATTAGTGAATAATAATAAAATAAATCTAAGTCTTTACGAAATTATATAAATCTGAAAAATTATATATAAATGAATTATCATCTGTATAGAATTATTCAAATTATCTAAAAAAATTGCTATTTTGTAATAGCAACTCATGCAATCCAAAATCATCAGTTATTTCATTTTTTAGATCATCTAATTCTTTTGCAACCTGCAATTTTAAGCCCATTGGTGGCTTAATTCAAGGTTTTTTTTTAAAATCACATAATGAAAACTAGAAGCATAAGATCTAACATTATTACCACTAAGATGACAAACAACCAATGGTAAATGAAGTTAAGGTAATAGAAGCATTTTCTCACTAAAATATCTAAAATCTTTTTTAATAACTTATGTAATATTAGTTTTGAAGTAAAGTTAAAGATTTAAACAAATATATCATAACTTAAAGAAACTTAAAATATTACATTTTTCAAAAGTTCTTTATAAAAAAAAATTTCTTATACAGTTATGCTAAAAAATATTAATTTATTATTATAAAGATACAATATTTTTTTTAAAAAAAAAGCGAGCTATTTCATAAATGAGACAATTATTTAGAATATTTTTGCAGAATTTAAAATGGAAATTTTAAGAAAGATTCAAAGTTATTAAAGAATAAAAAATATATTGATTTAGTAAGAGACTATAGTCAAACCTCTATATACCGATATTGCTGTTTTGAAAAAAAAGTATCAGTATATTGAGTTAACAGTTTATAAAAAAAATTTTCTTTACCAATATTATTATAAATAACATGATTAATATCAGTATAAAATAATTTTAATATATATATTATATTATATATTTATTATATTCAAAAATTATATTAACAAAATTATATTAATTATGTATTACATTGAAGATTATTAGAAATTAGGTAAAATAACTATCTAATGTAATCTGTTTTAAATCAGAAATATGTAATTTTAATACTTTGTGTATTAATTTTTGTAATTTATGGTAGGCCAATATATAAGATCTTGCATATTTTAAAGTAATATTATAAGAATAGGGTGATCACAGATATCGATTTTCTCCAGTATCAGTTTTAATTCTTCCACCAAATCAAATAACAGCCCAAATGAATCTTCAAGTGTTTTTCCTTTCTTACTTTGATTCAATGCTGTTTAATTTGTATTGTTATTAATAGATAGTCTCTCTAAGACCGCCATACCTAATTTTTCCTGAATAGTTATTATATCTTTCTTCTTATATAAAAGTAATTCATATAAAAGCTCTTCATATGGATCTTTATATAAGTGTAATTTAAGATTTCTTAGTATTAAGCATTGACTTGATTAGAATAATTATTAGTATTTCTTATTATGATTATGTTTATCTCTGGGTAGTGATCACTAACTTAAAGATTTTTTTGCTGAACTATGCACAGCGCCTTCGGTCAGATTGTGTGACAAAAAAAATAAGTGATCATCAGTCAGGTCTTGTGCAATATTAATTTTTGCATATATCAAAAGAAAATATTAGCTAACTAGTCTCTCTATTTTTTTAATTGAAAAATCTTCTAACTATATAAAATGCATACAGCTAATTTACTTGATTGGCTTACACTAGAATTAATATCCTTTATTCTAAAGAATTTATTGATATAGGATCTTAAAAATGTTGCAGTATAAATGACATATGGAAAGATAAAGTGATTTGAGAAATTCGTAGAAGATTAGTAATGGACTGTATATTTGTTGATGAAAAAGTAATTGTTAAGGCATTAATTGATTTCAAATCTTACTATAGCAGTATTAGTAAAACACTCGTCAAAAAAATGGATTTAGTGAAGGATCTGAATTTCTCGCAGTACAAAGACTTGAAATTGGTGCAATAAATGCTAGGAAGAAAGTGATGATAAGAGGATAGCTTCAAAGAGAAAAAGTTTCTGTTACTTTGCCAAATATATTTGATGGGATAAAACTTCCTTTATATTTGGGAACGGATATAGAAACTTTCGTAGTTGTTGACAAGTCTGAATATGATTTGGTTTTAGGTAATAATTGGCTAATTGGGTTAGGATACGATATTGATAAACGGGATGCAAGATATTGGAAAAATAAAGAAGAGAAAAGACTTTATTATGTAAAAAACAATATTGATATACTGTCTCCTTCGTTATATACATTTTACGAATTATTATTCCTTAATTTCATCGCAATTAATTCAGATGAACGAGGGAAATAATTTTCTCACTATAGGATATTATATTTAGGAAAGCAAGATAATGGATATTGATTAGAACTCACCATTAAAGATGGTAATAATAAATTCGTAGTCGGTGCTTTTCAGACTTGCGTTGTCAGAGAACTCAAAAACTATATTGCAGAATATATCGATATCACCTCAGTTTGATCTCTATAAAAATAGCGTACATCCAAAAAATCTTATGAAAACAAACAAGTCGCTTGGTGAATATTTTTGATATTGAAAAGGATGATAATCTAACGGTCATTATGCATCCAACCACCTCCAAAACTCCCTCTACCAAGTAGTTAGATTTTTTTTTTCACATCATGTAATGCGAATATTCGCAAATTTATTTTTGTATCAGTTGCTCCGGCAAATATATAATAAAGATGTGAAATGAGTCACGTGCAATTACGCAATCATTAGCACAGGATTTTTGTATTTATTTTTTTAGTGATCGGCGTAAGCTACTATTCAGGTTGTCTTCGATAAAGTATGAGGAATACGGAAAAATGATATTGCATGGAATGCACACTAGAAGTAATGAGAAATCGTCGTTCAAGTTATCGAACCTTATTTGTTGCATACTAAGATGAAGGGTATGAAAGACAAGACAGAGAAAGTCCTTATATGGCTACTGGAAGAGGCGCTGAAGCCAGTGAAAGCGGGAGGAATCAAAAGGTCGATCTTATGGGAAAAATAGAGCTATGTGTATATGTTACGTCACACTATAATGTAGTAAAAAATTACGGTTTTTCATAACTTCACTAATACTGTATATTTCGATTATATGTAATAAATTTTATTTGAATCGTTGTTATAAAGCAATGAAAATAAATTTTTCTATATTTCGATTATTGTAATTAAATTTTATCTTCAAGTTGTTAAACGAAATTTACCATAATTTTCAATATTTTCCATCAAAAAAGCTAGTATTTTATACATTCCAAAGAAAAACATGGGAACTTCGTTATCCGCTTACATAGATCATCATTATTATATTTTCTCTTATTATTATCACGATTATTAATAATACATTTTGCAATTTCCTCTCCTACCCCATATATAGCTCGTAATTCCCAAAATTTTGCTGAATTAATACAAACTTTTTTATTGGCTACAATAGAGTGAATTTTTCAGTAAGTAAAAAGAAATAACGAATTCTTTAAAAATATATAACCTACCTGCGAAAAATTGTGCACGTGATGAATATATATTTCCATAAAAATCGTTAAAGTTATCAATATCAACAATAACACAATTTAGTGGTAGGTCCATTGTATAGGTACTCTTACGATTTGATAGAATTAATAATATCCAGTCATCCAAACCAATCTTTGTTGAGACATCTGTGGACTTTTTATACTCATCTTTGATCAATTTATCATCAATTTTTTCAGGGTTCGCTGAATCTTTCTCTCTCCACTTCATTTGAAATGACAAAAAGATTATTTTTCTTTCACCGACCAAGAAACAAAACCCATCTCCTTCTGCCCCTCCTCCATTTTTATAAATTTTATTATTATCATTAAATAAAACTTTACAAATTCTACCCTCAGAGTCTACCATATCATAATTACGATTAGAAGGAGGAAATCGATGATTAAGATAATGTACGCAAATAGATGTATGATCAGGAATATCTACATCCATATCCTCATCCATAAGATTTGAATAACGTGTTCCTTTTAATAGTTCCTTTAACTTTATTTTTTCGTGCCCAAGAGCTGAAAATAAACAATAGCGTAAGGCCCAAAACTTGACATTAAAAATTTCCCAATCTTGCCAATAAAATGGATCATTAGGATCGATCATTACATGCCAGAATTTATTAATTGAATTACCAGCATGTATTATCAGTAATCGTACCCAAAGATAGGGGAGACGTATATAAAAGCTATTTCCTTCATCGGTTGGCTCAAGTGTTAAAATTCCATTGGATTTTAACGTTTTGTATGAGACAGGCTGATCATTTGCATCCTTGCCAGGAGAATCATCTGCATTAACAGGTCTATATAAAATCGCGTTTGCAAGCACTGGAGTGACTATTCTTGCATGATTCCTGAATGCATACCGTGTACCCAGAACCACCTCAATTTTGTTCATGATGCTCAGTAAATTAATGTCGTCCAATTTTTGGTTTCTTGATGCAACCGAAATATTTTCGTAGAAAACTTCTAAAGCACGCACCTGACCACCTATATCAGAAATCAAACGTCTGAAAAGATTATTTTTATAAACGTAATCTTCGTCAAAGCCAAGATTACACGCTATTTTTAACATATCTTCTATGTCTAGCAAATGCAATGGTAACTGAAGAGGCGGATGCATTGATTTTGTAATAATTGACTGGAGTGGACCCTCAACTGTACCCGCAAAGACTGGAGCAAAAAACACTTTTCCTGTTTTTTCTGGAATTGAGCTTCCTGTTTCTTCTGAAATTAAGTCAACAGTAAAATTACAACTAGCTGAGCCAACAGCAGATACAAGGTGAAGAAATTTATCGTAATCTTTATCATGTAATTTGTTGACCTCATCAATACCGACAATTATTGCAAGTTCATTTATATTTTTATCTTCTTTAAGCTTACTTAAATAAATGGCTCTTAAAACGAGGGACAATGTTAGTTCCCTTGCATTTTCTTTCCCAATCTTGTCTCTAAATCCAGCAAAGCTCTTATTGCCATGTACAAAATAGCTGAATAAGATCCTCAAAGCTATCGAAGCTTCTGCTCCAATACTCACGTCAAAATCTGATGCCTCTGTTCCATTTCCATATGTAACGTTCAGAAAAACTGCACTTCCTAATATAGAAACAACATTTTGATCTCCAGAACTCAAAGCCTTGTCGCGAATAATATTAACAAGTTCCTGCAAAAACCGACTTTTTCCTGTGCCGGGACCACAGGCTAGGAATGGAATCGGATGAAGGTTGCGATCTTGTTTTGGACGGTCAGAGCAAAAGTTCTTAAATCGGTTCAGAATCCCATGATCTTGTTCTGTGTAACCTACTCCGTTCCAAAGAGTTTCTATGGTGTCATCACGACCACACAAAGTAAATCGAGCACCAAACGTTTCGACCAATGTCAAAGGTTTTCTCCCAGTGACCGGTGAGTATTCTTGTATCCATTTTAAAATCGAATTTGAATCTCTAAAAGGATTGGATACAGCTACATTAAATTAGAAAATTTAAAAAAAGAGTTAAGTAAAGGCAAACGTATTTTTGGGGCGGTGTCTAATGTAGACAAAAAAAAAGAAGTTTCTTGTTCGAGAGGTAAAACGTTGGGAGACACTTACCAGTGGAGGTGGGAACAATGAAGATATGAAGGCATCTTGGCTTTGGTTTTTTGTCATCATTATTGAAATATTCTCTAAATTCAATCATAGATTCCATCATCGCGCCAAGATCTTTAATTTCATCTATTGTATAAATTTTATCTTTAAGGCTCGAAATACTGAGTTCAACTTTATAAAGATCCATACTGTCAGAATCTTGAACTGCCTTTTTTACTTTTTTCTTACGAAAGAGAAGCTCTTTGAAGTTTGAAACAGTAAATTGATCAAAGGCGACATCAATTTTATCATCATTGGTGTATACTTCGCCAACGACAACATTGAAATTATTTTTAGAAGCTTCTCCAAGAATTAAACAATTTACTGAAGCTATCATTGTGTTGCTGTAAGTGTTGTAAGTGATAAAATATATTTTAGAGAAAGAAAGCTAGAAAGGAAAGTATTTATGGATATAGGTATATACTTTTCTGAATACATCGTGACATAGACTCTTGCATGAACGGTTTTGTGGCTTGTAGTGACGCAATATAGCAAATAATATAGATACTTCGACCAAAATTAATAAGCATAGTAAAAAAGGTAATTTATCAGTACATGAAAAAAATGATTAATGAGGTTTTATTAGATTTCTCCGATTCTCAGCGGTATTTATTAAAAAAGGTGGGATGAATGTTACGTAATTTTTAGGTCGTACGAGTAGTTGTACGATTGACAGTATTTGACTAATCGTGACGTAATTTTCACATTACAACTTTTTCAGTTTTATTATTTCTCTGAGCCCGACCATATCGCAGTTTGAAGAAGTGCTGACGAAGTCCGGACGTATGAATGATATTTTTTTCGGCTGTGGCTTTGCAGAACGATTCCAAGACTTGCAAACGAATGATGTTTTCTCATACAGATTTCTGAATGCCTTACTAGAATCAGGAATGCAGACATAAAATTTCGGCGTAAGGTTAATGTTATTATCCATTGATTTATTTTCTGACACTGCATACAAGTTTTTGTTTTATCTAGAATATCGATGATTGGGACAATGAAACGGATTATGGAGTAGGATAATGTGTATTAGTAGTGTAGGCAAGCGAAAAACTGGTGTAGTCTGCAGGCATTAGTATAGAAACGCCATCTCACCTTGTAAAACAAGTTTATGTATTACTGAATCTTGTAATTTATTTTTTACATCAATAAATCAGTAATTTCGATGAGGATATTACCTCGTTTTTTTATTATGCTAATGAGCTATTGAATTATTCCATCTTTTATAAAAAAAAATTATTTATCGAACATGCAGTCCAACGATTCATTAAGGGAATTAAATGCCAAGCTCTTAACTGAGATTGCCGAACTTAGGAAAGAGAATGCAGGGATTCCTGAACTTAGAGAGAAGTTACTAAGATTTGCTGAGGTTGAGGCTGAGAATGCAAGACTGAAGCAAATTATTGAAGAGAATGCAAGGCGTGATGCTGAGAATGCTGAACTTAAGTCTAGAGTCGGAGAGCTTGAGGCTAGACTTGCATTATTAGAACGGGGTTCAGCAGTGGATGGGATGGCGTTGTCATTTGGTCAGACACAAAATGGTGAAGAAATGCATATCTCAAATGTGTGTCAGGTTACGCTGAATCACGTGACTCGCCACATATCTACGCCACAATTAATAATCAACCCAATCAGATAATTGCTTATTTCAACCAATCAAAATAGAAATTTGAGACGCGCAGAAATGACGCGCATAATCATGTGAAATCTAATCACAAATAGTAAATATTACGTTATCTTACATTTTTTTTTTAAAAATTTCCTGACAATTCGGATTATGGTTATGTTTCTAATTTTTTCTGGCAATATCGTGAAATTACACTTGGCGGTCGCAACGGTAAACCAATGTTTGAACGTTTAGCAGAAATTGTCAAAGATTATAATAATTCGAATCGAGGCAGAGCAGTTTTACAAGAATATGATATGAATAGTGGAAAGGCATTTATTTTATGCATTGTCACTAATTTAATATGTCAAGTACATGAAAAAATACAACAGGCAGGCGAGTTATGTTATATAGATGCATCGTTTTCATTCGAATCTCTTAATACTTCAATTACTCTCTTCTTTACTAGTTATACAGGTATCAATTATATTTTTATATTTGATTAAAAAAAATTAAGGGTGGTCTGATATAGTTAAAATTATAGTTGAAAAAATGATAAGTTTATTTAAAATTCGGAAAGGGAATTTTAAAAATTTTATAAAAAATAGCATATGTAACGAATTTTACTTATGCTAAATTTTTTACTATAGTTAATAATTTTGTTTTTATTTTGTAATTATTTGTTATAATTATAATAAAGATTTATTATCATATTATTAAATAATATATTTAATTATTATAATACCTTATCTTTTTTAATAGTTAGAGCTCTTCCATTCAGATTATTTATTACTTCGGATGAGCTTGAAATCACATTAGAAAAGGCGATCAATTTACTAAAAACAATTCTTCTGCCATATGCCTTCTTTGGACATGGCCCACAGGTTGGTTCAATGGTTTTTTTAACAGATGATTTGAGTGCTGAGCATAACGCTTTAGAGTTATGTTGACTGCAAGGTAACATTCCTATTTGTAATTGGTAATTTCTAAATAAAAAACCTTTTTTAATTCAAATTGAATTAAAACTTATCAAAAGGAATTCGACTTTTATGTACATTTCATGTTTTACAAGCCTTTTGGAGGTGGATTCATGATTTAAAGCATAACATTAACAAGGAGAATTGGGTGCCTATAATGGAAAAATGAAGAAGATACTTTACGCATCTTTTAGTTCAGAAATGAACATATATTATAATGAGTTAAAAAAAGCTTTTATCAAATTTATCCTCTTTTACAAAGACATTTTGAGCTTTTATGGAGCCGTTATAGCTGTTGGGCTTTATCATTTTATGCAGGACTTCTAATGCATGAAAATCATACAAATAATTATGTCAAATGCATTTTAAAAGATATAGTTTTTGCAAGAACACAGGCATACAACTCTATATAAGTATTTCAGTTTATAGTTACTAACATGAAAAGATTTTATAAGCGGCAGTTACTTGGATTTGTATATAGATATCTTAGTATTTACGCATTTCAAGACATTTTTTATGTCCTAAATGGAAACTGTAAACACAAATTCCATTCAAAGGATAGATGTACAGTATGAATTTTTGGTACAAAGTACAAGACAAGATACTAATCTTGTTTACATTATAAATAGCGAAATCAGAGTGTATTCCTGTGTTACTGATATGTCCAGCACTCCTTATAAGCATCAAGGAGCAGTAACAATGAAATATCACATTGCAATTTTTAATTTTTTGTTATCATTAACACCTGATGATCGTATGCTTTATGCATATGTTACATTTGGTAAGTAAAAAGGTATTTAATAATAATTAGAGACTTCTGACTAATTTTTATTTAATATTTTAAGATATGTAGTAAATGATAGTTCTTTTTATGCATCCTTATATTCAGAATTTATTTCACAAGATTAAAAGATTTTACAAACAAGAAGTGAAAATTTGTTAGTTTTCGATCAAAAGTTTGTATTTTTTTTTAAAATAATATTTTTGGAAAGTTGTATTAGAAAGGAGTTTTATTAGATTACATTAAAGAGTTTAACTAATTTTAAATCAATTTTTTTCTTTAAATTTATAGGAAGTCAGATGATGTGAATAAAGAAATTGATATTTTATTATTTGATTCTTTTTTGAAGAAAATGAAAGCAGATTATCAAAACTCCAGTTTACAATTGTGCACTGCATTGGATAAGTTTGCAGAGCAGTATCAAATAGCAAAATCGAAATCTATTTCTCGATTAATTTCCTTTCTTTATGATCTTAACCAAAATGCAAATCCAATAAGTTGTGTTAAAAGTGGTTCTATGATTCGCATTCAAGTAGAATCTGTTAGACATCGTAAAATAGAATCAAGAGATGCTAAATGAAAACTACTCAGTAATATTAGTGAAATGAAGGAAAATTTAAATTCTCAAATCATTCCTTGTCGAAAGAAGAGTAAAACTAGTAAAAAGGCACATAACTTAAGTGAAAACATTAAAAATAAGTCAAATTGAAGATATAATATTTTATTTTTTATTCATCTTTTGTTTTTATTTTTTATATTTAAATATAACAATTTTTTCTTTGTTTAGACTTTAATTACTAATCAAATTTTAAATTGATTAGCATCATGAAATTGCAAAGTATAATTTAGCCATTATCATTTTAATAAAGAAATAAAATGGGTTAAAAACCATTTATTGGTATCATAAAGTAGCAAAAAAAAATTCATTGGATTATATTTTTATAATAAAGATTTAAAAAATTTAATCAAAATTTTTAATTCTATTATATCTAAATTTTTTCTCTACATTTATATTCAAATCACAAATCCCAGAAGTTATTTGTCATTAATTTCTTCCTTTAAACTTACCAATAATGCTTAAAAATAATTATTTTTTAGAGATTTTATATCTATAGTATAATCATTTTTCTTATTTGGCAAGACGTGTTCTCAAAAATCAGATCAACAATCAATTTTGTGATTAGTTGAAAATTAAATTACGTTACATATATTAAATAGTATATTCAGTGTAATCTGATACATATTTGAGTTATGCTGAAGAAATGACATCAGTGGTGACAGTACTAACTGTTGATATACCTGATTTAGTAATAGACTAACTCAATAATGAAGTAGGACAAGCATCTAGTAACCTTGATGGTAACGATGAGGAAATGGTTGATTTCTTGAATAAGATGTATAAGAAAAACATTAGCAATAAGATTAGAGAGAGGAGGCGGAAAAAGAAGCAGAAAGATCAAAAGGCACTTGTAATTTCTTAGAATGTGACTAAAATTTCTGAGGTTATGGACATATTAATTTCAGAGCAAGATGAGTAAGACTTATCACAATCTTATGAGGCTAGTTCTGAGAGCATAAGATCAGTATCTTGCGTTTTATCAAAGCAACCACAAGTTAGTACATCCAAATTAGAATGTAATCTTAGAAACCGTAAAGATTCTTCATAATTGGAATCATATGATATGAAGGAACCTCAGCATGATGAAGTTATTGCTAATTTGGATAAAAATATAATTATAAAATAGAAGTTAAAGTAACAGTTATTGTCACATATATATACATTTACGTCAAATCAAACTTTAGAAGAACAGGATCCATCTTCAGATACTGCACAAAATATAGTTTACATGTTCAGGAAAGTTAATAAGCTTAGTTAAAAAGCAATTTTATACTGGTGCTACTTTATAGAAAAATATAACAAAAGGATTAATAATCTTGTTGCTGGTGGAATTAAAAAAAACTGTAACATCTATGATATACAAAGAAATTAAATAGCTTTTACTTGATATAACAAATATGAATTTGCGTCAAAAAATCCTTAAGGCCAAAAAATTATATAAATTATTCAATACATTAGAAATAGAGAAAATTAACAGATCTCTTATAGTGCAGATGCTATTTCGAGCCTCAGTTATCTACAAATACAAAATATTATAGACCATGTAAATTCAGTAACAAGTTCACACAATGAAACTATGAAGATTTTTCATGATCAAAGTCATGTAACTTCAAAAATTAATCTGACTAATATATCGAAAGCATCTCAATCTAAGCCAATTTATGATTGATCCTATTTTTGTAGCAAAACATTAGATCAATATCCTAATTTATATAGAGAATTTAGTAGTGAAAATTTTGATTATTATAGCATTATTGATAAGACATCATGCTCATTATGCAAGTTAGATCATGATGAAGAAGAAAGTATAGAAGATAGATATACATCTGGATCCTATTTTATTAAATATAAACAGTATAAAATTGAGATAACTGCATAGTCTCTATTTTATAATACTATATTTACTCACATTTAATATGCGATATTTTTTTTTACAGAACTAATTTGTGTCAACTATTACCAAATTAAATTAACTTGCATTCATATAAAAAAGCAATATAACTAAGACCGATAAAATATTAACTCCTGAATACCTGGATTAGCATATCAAATTAATTGGGTTACCAAGTGTTTTGACAGATAGGATTCAGTTCAATTTATACAAAAAATATAAAAGAGAAATGAGACTTGAGCAATGGCAATTATCAGAGGATCACTTTCTCATAAATTTAAAGTCATAAAATAAAGTATTTGATTTATCTTTTCTGAGCAATGTGAAGAAAAGGGGCCTATCACTTTCAAAGCTAAACCTGATCCAAAAATAATTATTAGATCTGTGTTAGAGTATTTCATATATCTGAAATTTTGAAATAGTTTTAGGGGATTAATAATTATAATTTTGCATCACTTTAACTGTGAAGCTCACTATGCTATATTTGTGATGGAAAACATGGGAATTATGGATTACATAACGAATAGTATAGAAATAGAACAGAATATTATCTTAGCTGTAACTCTTCAAGTAATAAATTCAAGTTCGCAATTATGACTTAGACCAATCATGTGAAATCAATTAACTGAAAAAATGCACAATACGATATTATTGCAAAGTTGTGTAATATGTGAATTGCATTATTTTTTATAATATTAAATAATTTTCATTATAAAAAAAAATAATATCAACCATGTCAATTACTCATTAAAGCTTGATTTTTAAATCTTTATATTGTTTATTAGATCAAAACTGAGTTTATCGTATCTAAAGATGGTCTCTATAATTATTTTTAAATTTTAATTGAGTTGCAACTTAATTATACCACAAGGAAATTTAATTGCACTACAAGTTGCAACTCAATTGCGCCATTTTTTTTAATTATGGTAACCATCTTTAATCATATCTAAAAATATTTAAACCTTTTACAGGATGGGCTAGAACATCCAATAATGTGTTATGTTCTAATATACCAAATGAATTAGATCTAGAAAATGCGATAAATAATTCATTTTTTGCTTGATTAGATATATTAAGAAGGCGCATGATAAATAGTCTAAGAAGGATAAAATGTTGACGAGCTTCTCAGTCTCAATAAAACTTTTTCTAAGCATCTTCACCAAAATCTTTGTTATAATCACATCCGTCATATAATTTGTTAGAAAATATATCATCATCTTCATTGTCATCATTGAACAGTCAGAATTTGATCTTTGTGCTACTGTAATATCATCATCTCAAATTCAACGAAAGAGAAAATATAATGATGATGTGTAGCATTATGATCAGCCACATCCCTACAATACTCCAAAATGATCATATAAAGCACAACTAATATGGTCTATAATACTGAGATCGAAGTAGGAGTTACAACTGCAGTAGAATATGTAACTAAAACTAAGGAATATATTGAAGTCAAAAGGAGAGCTTCATTCACTGCTGAAAAAAGTGAAGATGATCTCATAATGGACAATAGCGAATAATGAATTTTCAGACGATTTGGGATGGAAGCAAATTATTTATTATATAATTAAAAAATAAAATTATTATAATATATAATACATATTTATAAAATTAGATTAAAAAATTTTAATTTTTTCATAAAGTAAATCAGAAGTGAATTTATAGTAAATAAGCAAGCAATTTTGCTTGCAAATCTTAATAATCTAAAAGATAAGACTATTACTTAATAATTAAATAATAATTACTTTATTTATTATAAATAGATAAGATAATCATTAATTTGCAATAGATTAGTAATTAACTTAAATTTTTATTATAAATAATCAAAATTTTCAATTATGTAAATAATACTTATTTTGAATATTTGTTTTGTTAGTTATTTTTATAATTATTGATAATAAAATTTATCAAATACAATAATTCTTTAGGTATTTTACTTTTAATTATTTTTTGTAAGAATTTTTAAAATAAGTACATATATTTTAAATATTCTATTTTAAGAGTTTTATTAAATATAAATTTCACATATTTTTAATAAGTTTTATTAAATATAAATATATATATTCACAAGTATTTTAAAATATTTTAATAAAGTTTTCTTAAAAAAATATTTTGAATACAAGAATATATATTCTATTTTTAAATTTATTAAATTATATACTTATTATTTTAACTATATAATATTAATTTTAAGTTATATTTATTAAGACAATTAAGTTTTTATATTTTCTGACTTAGAAACTTAATCTATGAATAAGTATCTTTATGTAATTTTTGTTTAAAATTCATATAATATAATATTTATCATTTTTAATTAAAGTTTTTTTTTAAAAATGTAAAATATAAAGTTAAATTAACTATTATTTAATCAATTAAGTATTTCAATTTATCTAATCATCAATTAGTTAACAATGAATTTATAAATATTTATTATATATTTTCAATAAACTTCACCTTTTTATATTTTAATTTTTCAATATTATATTTATCTTTATATATAATCATTATAAAATAAATATAAATATATATTACTATTTTATTATTATAAAGATTTTAATAATTATATTAAATTATAATTATATAATTTTTAAAAAATAATTATTTAAACTAACATTAAATAAAGTTTTTATTCTGCTTTTTTAATTTTTTTAATAATTTAAGTATTTTAAAATTATTAAAATTATTTTAAATAAATTAATAAATAAATAAATTTTTTTAATTAAATTATTTATTTTATATTTTTAATTTAAATTTTTTTAATTTTTATAGTTTAATAAAATCTAGGTTTTATAAATAATATTTTATTAATTTATTTATAAAATAAGTAAACTTTAAATTTAAATTTAAACACTTAATAATTTTATCATATTTGTTTATAATTATTCTAAATAATTAATAATGTTATTCACACTACTGAAAAATTTGATTAAACAAATTTTTTATAAAGGTATTATAATAAAATCTATAATGAAATTTTAAAGCTTAATTAAATTTAAACTTAAATTAGTTAATTTAGTTGAGTTATAAAAATTGGTTTTGACAAGTATCTTTATAAATAATAATTTTT